AATTTCCTTTTTTCCAGGATGAAAAATGGAAAATATAAATTTTGATAAAATTATTTAATTTATGTATTAATGAACTTATTTTTGTATTAGATATTTTTATTGAAATTAATGTTTATTAGACGCCGGAGAAACCAAAAATAAAAGGTTGAGAAACAAAAAAAGAGAACGATGAGAGCTGATATAGTCTAACAATTGTTTTTTAACAAGAATTACATTCGACTACTTTCTTTTATATATTTATGAATTGTTTAAAGATATTTTTATGTACAAAACCGTAAATTTATGAATATTTTTATTATATATAAAATTAATATAAGTAAAATTGAATTAAAATTAAAAATTGGTATAGTCATTTTAATCTCAAATTCTAATTTAAAGAAATTGAAAAATTTAAGATTAAAATTAATTCCTTTTTTTATCGGTAATTCATTCGAATAAGAAGATTACATATTTAGTAATATTCATTGTTTCAATAAATTGATATCAAGTACCATTAAAAAAATCAGTATTTTAAAAAAAAAAATAAAATCGAGATAAAAATACAAAATAACCTTTATTTATGCATACATAGTTATAATTACGATGGTGCAATATTCTCATATTCTTATTATAAGAGTAAACTATAATTGGCCCCTGATGTGATCGACCACCGGCAAAAAGTAAAAAATAAATAAATAAACAAAATTTTAAAACGATAAATTAATTAATTATTTTTAAAAAACAGTGGTGATTTTTTCTGGATTAAAAAAATGGTGGCTTTTCCCTTTGCCCTCGTGTATGCCTGTAAAACCACAATCCACGTCAGAGTTTCCTTGACACGACGTGTAACAAATTGTTCATTGGCGGTTAAATAACACGGATTGGGTTTTTTTTTTTAAATTTACATATTTACCCTCTCGATTTGATTGGCTACGTGTTGGCTAGCGGATGGGGTTTTCTTTCATGGAACCCAGTGAAGAGGGGACGGAATCACGTTAATTATAATTAAAATAATTATTTAAATATATTTTTACTAATCAATTGATAAGTAAATCCGCAAATTAGGGATAGCTGTCTTTAAAACTTTCACTAATTTCAATTAATCTATTTTTAAAAAACACATTTTTTAAAATAAGAATTACGAGAAAGTAATTAGGCTTTAATTGCTCTTCTCTGTTCATTCATGGTTGTGAATTTAAATTCTTTTAATATCGTTAAAGAAATAACAAATATTAAAAAGAATTTCACTTGGCGGACCCACGACACCACGTGGCAGTCAAATAATGTTCATGGCTGAGTCAGCAACCATCACGTGGCGGAATTGCTAAGTGGGTTAGAAAGAAAAATACAGATATGGGATGGTGAGCTGTACAAAGAAATAACAATTATATCACTTATTTCAACTTTATTTATTTAAATAATATTTAATATAAACAAATAAATAAAACCTAGACCACTTGGGCAATTTTCTCTCGTAAGTCATACCCATGTCTCTCCAACTAATTCCATTATTCAACGATCCATCGCTCGAATTAACATAAATTATTTATATTTTTAGCTACCATTATTTTATTCCTATTTTTAATTATACAAATATTTTATTAGAAAGTTTAATAATTTATTCCTGACATTTTATTATTGCCTTTTTTGTCTTTTAGTGTAAATATTGGTAGATGATCGACGGTTGATTATTAACCTCTTTTTACGAGTTCAATTTTATTATTAAAAAACAGACTACAAATAATTTTAACAAATAAATAATGGTTATACGTATAATTTAATTTTCTCTTAATAAAAAATTCAACCACGTCTTTAAACAAAATAAATTCATCTGAAAGGGTAAAAAAGGAAATTCTCAGATGTGTATTTTTATTATTAAAATTTCCGTAATTTATATAGGGCATTTAATGTGCCATTTTATAGTTTAAATTATTTTAATGCTCATCCGATCAATTGTCTCTCACGTGTGACATGCATGTATCCTTTCCCTGCAATTTAAAAATCACGAGAGCTAGTAGACAGTAAATTTTTTTATTAATAAATACTAAATTATAAGTAGGATAATAATATATTAGAACCTTAATAATAATAAATAAATAAATAAGGTTGATGAACAGTTTCTTTATACTTTAATGATATATTTTACAACAGGTTCTATGAATTTAAGCATATTATTAAAAATAAATATATAAATTATATATATTTTTTTATTATAAAGTAGGCAAAACAAATCCTGAAGTTGTTTTTCATTTTTTCATTTTTTTTTTTTTTTTGTTTCTTGCCTTTTCCCTTTGAATGGTAAAAAAATCTAAAAATTCCATAATATTTAATTTTTTATATATTATATTTATTTTTACGTATTTATTATACATTTTTAAAAGTGTTTAAATTGTAAAAAATAAAAATAAAAAACTTAAATTTTGATGAAAATAAGAAACAACAAAAAAACATGAAACGTGACTAAAAACGGAAAATAATACAGCAAGCTGTAAATAATAAAGTTATCGAATGGACCTACTTAATTAATACATGAAATTAGGTGAAGTTCTAGAAAATAAAAACTATAATATAAAAAAAAATACATAAAATGGCTTTGGTTTATAAAACAAAAGACCCAAGCCTTCCCCACCACAAATTCGGGAATCTAGAACATGTTTGGCAACTCATCGATTTTAAAATATAAAATTATGTTTTATTATCCACTAAGAAAAAGCATAGTCTAAAATACTTGATCAGCCTTCATTGAAGGACGAGTGTATATGTCCACCTAATCAAATATTATATATATAATATTAATGTTCATTTGAGAAAACGTTTATTGTATCTTATTAATAATTGGACTAAAGTGTTTGACAACGATAGCTAGCCTTGCGTTTTTCATTGAATCATAATTTTCCATACTTTTAAGAATCACTTTCAAAGCTACACATGTAACTGATATTAAAATATTAAAATCAGGTGATTTATTATTATTAATTAATTTTTTTTCGTAATTTAATTGATTTGACCGTACTCGATACAAATAAAAAACGTTAATAGACTTTTTGAGAAGGGATCTAAACATGTCGATAATCATTGACTTAAGTAAACTTCACACCAACCAATTATTTGATAAGAAGTTAACTCTCGTGTTCGATAGAAATTAACTAAAAAATAATAATTTATTTAAATCAAGTATAAATGGTTGAATATAATTTAAATCGTTAATGTTACAAGATCAAACCGCTATCTGGTGAGATTCAAGATTGATGACGACTAATATTTAATAAAATCATTTATTATTGATAATTATAAACTTAAAAAAAAATATCACATTATTTACACTAATATAATCCTAAATCAATCAATTAAAACATATATATAATTTATTAACCACTAACATAAATGTTAAATTACCATTTTGAGAAAACTAGAGGTAATATATAGTTATAATTATATACGTAATTCAAATAACTTTTAAATATATTTTCCTTCGAGCTTAATGTTATAAAATGTTTTTAGAGGAAAAAAGCAGTTATATACAAAAAGACCTTTTTACCCTCAACAAATTATTTATTGCCTACGACGTTGGGATCTAGATGAACAATATAGAGGAAAATGAATTAAAGGGAAATGGGAACAGCACTTTAATTAGTAATTACGGAGTCGTTGACCAAGCGAGACTTTCTCTTCGATCTGGCGATGTTTTTGCCTTCTGCTACCATGTGGACGCTCAGACAATTTCTGCCCAATTGGATCCACGTGGGCTCTTTTCATTGGAGGATAACTGTACAAAAAAAAAATCCATTTATGGTTTCCAAGTTCCAACCATGGTTAAAAAAATAAACCCACTCCACAATCGAACACTAGCAACGTAACCAATGCTGCCCAAGTTAATTGAACCACAGTCCCCATATAGCTCCCCTTTACCTTTATTATTAAAAAAAATAGGAAATTTTATTAATTAATAAATTCTTAACCTTTCCATTTTTATATTTAATAAAATTTTAAACTTTTAATTTTATATTTATTAAATTATCAAATTTAATTTTATGTTTAATAGACTTTTAACCTATTTAATATTTTAATAGACACAAATTTTAATTTTATTTATGACATATTTATTAATTATAAAAAATATTAGGAATATCAAATACCTAAAATATACAAAAAGGCACAAATCTCTTAAAAAAATTAAAATTCAATTTTCCTTGAAGATAAATATGCTAAATCGTCACTTAGTCTTAAAGTTTTTAGTTTTCAATTTGGTATTTATTCTTGGAAGTCTTCGACATTATCTTATGTTCTAAAACTTGTGTACCACTATTTTTTTTTTAATTTTTTTTTTTTGTTGGTTAAAGGTGGAGAATATAAATTTTGCCAAAATAATTTTTTTTAAGTACTTTTTTATGTCGGTAACAACTACTACTTATATTGCATAAAAGAATTGATAATGTGTCGTTAAATTATTGTTTAATAAACATAATTGGTGTTATCTATATTTAGAAAAATCAATTTTACTAATCAATAGTTAGAATTTGATCCGTTAATGGATTGGATTAGATTTTGAGTCTTTTAAAGTAATTCTTAAGCGAGATAATATATATAAATATATATATTTTTGTATTTTATTTAACCATCTTTAGATAAAGGATGGAATACTTCGGTTATAATATGTTATAAATATATAAATAAAATAATAGAAAATATGAGCCAAAAAATACTTTAAATACAACTAAAACTGAGAAATTGAATCATTGAGGATGAAATTGAAGAATAAATAAAGTATTAATTTGTATATTTATTCTAAAAATGAAAACACGTTGAATTAGAATCCAGTTTGCACCACGTAGACGTTTGCTAAAAAACAGCGCAATATTCATTGAACGCAAAATTAGAGATTGGGGATACAGAAACGACGTCGTTTGACGCGTGAGTACACGCGTAACGTAAACACGTTACCACTGAAATGGCGGGGAACAGCAAAAACGTTCAGCGTTTTTAAATCTTTTATTTTCCAGCTCTCAAAGTGATCGTACACTTCCAAACCTCTCTCTCTTCTCTCTTCCCTCTTCCCTCTTCCCTCTTCCCTCTTCCCTTTAAATCTGCCATTTCGTCCTTCGTTTGTGATTTTTTGTTGATTCATGTTCACTTTCCGGAGAATAGAGAGAGAGAGAATCAGTGAGAAAATACTTGACACCGTAGTGAGAGAAAACGCTGTGTAATTTGTTCTTGCTGTTCTTCAGGATTTTGCATTAGGAGCTTCAAAGAATTCAGTCGTCGCAAGAGGAATCAGAGACGATTTTATATAAAATTGATGGACAAAAAAAGGTGATCGAAAAGGCCAGAATTCTCTAATATTTTTTACCTCCGAATGCACATGGCTTCCTAGGCTTGTCTTCTCTCTCTTTCGTTTTTCTTTTTTCCGTCACATGCTTTCTTCTCCTGCATTCAATCATTTCTCTTCTCTCTTGTGCGCGCAGTGGCTGGCTCTGATTTTTCTATTTCCACCAGAAACTTTTGATAAACAACGGCAAAGATTCCTTAGATCTATTGTTGAAGCCATTCGCTGTTTTTGAGTTTTCATTTCCAGTGATTCGGACTTCGGAGGTTTGGTGCCGCTTGGCGTTTGATATTGCGGATACGAGGTTAGCATATTGAACTGTAATCCGGTGTTTTCTTTTCATATTGTGAAGCATGATCCGTTTAATCTCGCATTCGGCAGTTCAATCCTCTTCGTTCGTAAATGTAGCTTCCAGCTACGTTTTGACTTGCTTCTTGCGAAGTACTTTGGTTTCATTCATTTGAATCTGATCATCGCGAATTGGAATTCGAGTTCAGAGTCATCTTTTCGCCTCTCTTATTAGTCGTTTCACATTTGGAGATTTTGTAATGAATTTGGAAGAGTACCTTCACTATCTTTGGATTTCCTTTCTAATTGCATTTCTGAGCATCATCAGCTTCCGCTGAGTATAAAATTTTTTCAGGCTTGCATTTTGTTAATTTTTTAATTTCTTGATGGTAGATATTCAGCTTCCTCTTTGAAACTGAAAAGTCTTCGCTATTCGAGTAATTAAGCATACGCTATCGTCTAAATCCAAAGATGTGCATCTTCCGCTTTGAAACTGAAAAATCTTCACAATTCAATTAGTTAAGCGTACGCTAGCGCCTATTTCTGATATAATTCATTTTTCGAAAATTAGAAATCCTCTTTATTTCAATCTGAAACTATTATATGTATAAATACTTCGATTGATGTTAAGTTTTTTGATCTATTGATGGGAAGTCGTGCAATGAATCAATTCATTGAACTTTTCTGCATATTTAGGACCTGCTCTATAACTACGTCCATCTACGACAGTCTCGAAGGGTTTCTCCTATTTATCTGTTAGCACCGTCTTGTGTGCGCTGGATGGAACATGGATGAGCTAAGATGCACGACGTATTACATCTTCAAGGAATTTATTTGCAGTAGAATTGTCATCTACTTTCTTGTGCAAGTTGGAAGAAATTGCTGATTAATTGCCATGGTCTGCGAGATGGAGACTGAGGTTATTGAAGCTATGGACATCGAAGCTGTTCCTTCTATGTGGCCTGAGGACGTTGGACCAGATGTTAGAAAGCAGTTCAACGTAGAAAGGCCAAGAGCAGATCAAGATATGTTGGAAGAAGTTAACATAATAGAGGAACCGACAATTGTTGATTTCAAGAGACTTATAGAGTTAACTAACTATACTGAGAAAGGATCTTCACAATTACAATACCTCGCAAAACAGTGGGAGTATAAGCAAGCGAATGCTGTGCGTCTCCTTAGAGAAGAACTTGACATCCTCAGCAAGCAGAGGAAAGAAGTTGAGCTCAAGAAATTGAAAATATTAGAGGAACATCTTTTTGAGGAAGAAAGATATGCTGGTGATAAACGTCCAATTTCTATTTTAGAAGAATCTTGTGATATATGGCAAGATATTCCAAGGAGGAAAACTGATTTCGTCATTCAAAGTAAGGGAGTTGAAATTGATGCAGCGTATGATACATTGACATACTGGAAGCAGCGAGCCATAGATCTGGAAAAACTGTTGGAAGCAAGCCTACAGCGCGAGCAGATGCTTGCAGAGAAGCTCAGGGAAAACATAAAAAATGTTGAAAAGCAGTCCTCACCAGTTGAGGAGTTGTCACAGATTCTGAAAAGAGCCGACAATTTTTTGCATTTTGTGCTGCAGAATGCACCTGTGGTTTTTGGTCATCAGGTACTATTTCAACTTCATAATGTTAATTTTATGATGTCGGAATTTCTGATTCTCCTGAGTTTGTTAGTTCGGACTTCTGCATTAGTTATTTCAATCGTTTTAAGGGATTTTGCTCGTCTCTAGAATAAACATATCCTTGGCTTAGAAAGTAATAGAACCTACAAGACAGCTCAACTTCTTAAGTGTGTTGTGGATCCTTAATTATAAAATTAACAAAATTATTTTTGTTGGTCTTTCTGATTTTCTTTAAATACATACACGAAATACAAGAATGGTAAAATAATGGCAAAGGTAACGCAATTTGTGCATGCCGTCAACTACTAGAAGTTGTAGATTCTTCGTTGTTCTGCTCCACATAGTGAAGTCATCTTTTGTTCTATGGTTGTGTGAATTGCATGCTGCAATCATTATTGTTCAGGTCAACCATAAGGAACTGATTTTTTGAATACTTGCATTTCAGGACAAAGAAATGCGCTACCGATTTATCTACAATCATTTTCCAAGTTTGCAAGAAGAGGTAACCATTTCTTTCACATACCAGGTCTAAAGGAATTGTGTATCGTTTTCCCCAACATGCTGTTGTATTACTTCATTAAAATTAGATCGAATAACTCAATGTATCAGGACAAACTGTGACCTCTAGTTATTATTTATTTATTTATTTTTGCTCCTTATGTAATGCAAAGGGTATTCTTTTTCCCAGGATATTATAGGAAGAACAGACGTTGAGATTTTTACTGGTGCTGGTGTTAAAGAATCTCAAGATTTCAAGAAAGAAGTGCTAGACAAAGGGCTACCTGCAAAGAGGGAGATTCAGTTTGATACGGAATTATTTGGGCTTAAGACCTTTTTGATTTACGTTGAACCTGTCTTCAGCAAGGCTGGGGAAACAATTGGAATAAATTATGTGGGAATGGACATAACCGATCAGGTGCTTGATCGCTTCAGTATATTTGTGTAAAATTCCTTTTCCATTTTACATGTTAGTCATTCATGTAAACAGTGTGTGTGTATATGTACTTCTAATCAAAATATCACTTATCTTATTTCTGTCATCTACAGTGATGTGTTTTCTTTTTCTTTTACAAAAGGTTAAAAAACGAGAAAAGATGGCAAAGCTTCGCGAGGAGATTGCAGTACAAAAAGCCAAGGAGTCAGAGCTGAACAAAACAATTCACATCACGGGTTAGTTTCTTCTTTCAACCTATCTGGTTGTCTATTTCTGCTCAATTTAGCTGCTGAAGTTTTCATTGTTTTTTTCTTTCCTCATTCTTGCAGAGGAGACAATGCGAGCAAAGCAAATGCTAGCAACCATGTCACATGAAATTAGGTCTCCACTGTCTGGAGTGGTTAGTATGGCTGAGATTCTGTCCACCACGAAACTTGATCGGGAGCAGCGACATCTGTTGGATGTTATGCTGTCTTCAGGAGACTTGGTGCTTCAACTTATAAACGATATCTTGGACCTTTCTAAGGTCGAGTCAGGTCAGAATTTCTTTGCGTAGAACATGGTTTTAATTCTAGCATTTCAGCCACATTCATGGAGTTATTAATGTGTAACGAAAAAAATACTCAACTGTTATATGTAAATTTGTGTCAATTTTGGTGCTCTGAGATGTTATGATGTATTTGGTAGGCCTTTTTTATTTTTCTTAGTCCACACGATATTCAATAACAACTTACAACGAGTAATAGGACTACACAGATGTAACTGGGTGTTTGTTTTCACTTGTTTATGCTCACAATTTCCTCTCACTTGAAGGATTTTTTTTTTTCTAGTGGCATATTAACGAAAGCCAATTTATTTTTTACTTCAAATGTAAGCTGATCAGGTATATGATGGTTTTGCCTTCTTTTATTAGGAGTAATGAAGTTGGAAGCTACAAAATTCCGTCCAAGAGAGGTTGTGAAGCATGTTCTGCAGACTGCTGCAGCATCATTGCGAAAATTCTTAGTTTTGGAGGGACGTATAGCAGATGATGTCCCTATAGAGGTGAGGGTTATAGATGAATATTAAATGTTTAAAATTGATTAGTTGGATTTTGTATGCTAAGTAGGCATCTGAATCACAATTAAAAATCGAGTAATAGGTACGTATGACATTTAATTTAATATGCCAGAGCAACCTAGGCTGGTGGCATCATATGGATAGTTTTATGCCTCAAACATTTGAGGTAGAAAGGGTCATGCCTGAAGATGTGAAATGTGTGCACCCTATTCAGTCCCCTTTTCAGAAACCTTAGCCATGTAGCTTCATAGCTTATTCACATATCATCCATTGATAGTTGAACCCATATAATTTTTTGCAATCCCTGCCTATCCCTATCTTCCATTACTTGATTGCTCGTTTTAGATGTGTAAACTGCCCATTACACGGTGCAACGTTTCAGGTCATCGGAGATGTTCTTAGGATTCGGCAAATCCTCACCAACTTGATCAGGTATTGAATTTTGTAAATATTTGAATAAAATCATATATGGACTGCATAAACTTTACAGTATGTTGCACAAAGAACTTCCAACCAAATTCTAAGTTAATAATTGAGAATTCAATTCTTAGGTAATACGCTGGGGAAGATCAATTTTTACTTATAGGTCTACTCCTTTTCCTTCTCTAATGCCTTCCCTCCCCTGGCATCTGTTGACTTGGTGCCGGTTGCCCTGTTTTACAAAATTACCAAATGTTATCTTTCTTTTCCGATAATAAGAGGCTAAGAAAGGCATCTTAGAAGTTAGAATGGCCTAGTTTTGGGTACAAGTAATATACACACTTGTCCTGAGGAAGTAGGCATTCATGTCGTCAGTGAGGTAATATGGTTGACCAATGTGACATGAAATCCGTGATAAACACAAGCATAAATCACGGACAAGACTATATTCAAAATATTCATGTAGAATGTCTTATATAGTTGATAGAAAGAGCGCTAAAGGGTTAATGCAGAAGGAATTTAATGCTTCCATTCCCACATCATCATATGATAGTCCTCTAAATAGATAATTAATCGATGCAGTAACGCAATCAAGTTCACTCATCAAGGAAAGGTTGGAATTAACCTTTATGTGCTACCCTATCCACCCATCGGAAAAGGAGAAGAAAGCCCCAAGAAATCAACGGCTGATAACTCAACAGTTCCGGTAAATGGTTGGCAAGAAGGAACATGTCTTCCAGCCCCTCAGAATGACTTGCGTGGCCAGAAACACGGTGACAGAAATCACTTGCATTTTGATGCACCAGGAACCCCTAGTAAAAGTGAAACCACACAGAATGGAAATAGAGAAAACGAATCTTGTTCACCAGAAACAACGGTATGGATACGGTGTGATGTTTTCGACACAGGAATTGGAATACCAGGTATGCTTGCCTATATTTCTGATCTTTTAATATACTTATTACACAATTATGAGCAGTAATGTTCATTCGATGATTTCTTTTGGAATGAAACAGAGAATGCATTACCAACCCTTTTTAAGAAGTACATGCAAGCTAGTGTCGATCATGCTCGCAAGTATGGAGGGACTGGACTTGGACTGGCAATATGCAAACAGCTGGTAAACTGTTCCTTCATGTTAAAATTTGCCTCAATTTTGAGGGGGTTATTCCAAACATAATCCAACTTTTTCCTTTTCTTGCTTGCTTAACCCATCATTATGCACTTGCTTTTGGAGCAGGTTGAATTGATGGGTGGTCATCTCACCGTTTCCAGCCGAGAGAACCATGGATCTACATTTACATTTGTTTTGCCATACAAGGTTTCGACCACTTGCAGTCCTTCCGATGATTCCGATGATCTCTCCGACGACGAGTCCACAAATGATGAAATGACCGAGGGCTTCTTCCAATTCCAACCCCACAGTTTCAGTTCTCTAGCATCTTCTAATGGCACAAGGATCATCCCAAACTCAATGTTACATACAACTGGGTATCACACCTCAACCAAACTCAATGGATTTTCTGAAGCTTCTTTTCCTATTCCCACAAACAACATCACACCACAAGAAACTGCTTCTCTTAGAGATGTCCCTTATGCCAATGCTGCTGCGGTAACCTCAAGCGAATCACAATGTTCATCGAGTCGGATGAACTCAGAGCTTGATAACGAAAACCAACCAGACACTAATGCTCGGTCCCAAAATGTTGGTGTGAATTCAGTTCACAGATCAGAAACAATGAAGCAAGAAAATGGATTGGAAAAGCCAAGTAATAAAATTCTAAAAACAGAACAGGGGAAGGAGAGATCCGATGATGGAAGTAACCATTGCAGAAGTAGCAGTAGTAGTGGTTCTGAAGTCACAATGGGATTGGAACCCAGAATTCTTCTTGTTGAGGATAATAAGACCAATATTATGGTTACTCAATCCATGATGAAGAAGTTTGGCCAAAAAATCCACGTTGTAACTAACGGAATTGAGGCTGTTCGTGCAGTTCAACGCCGTTCTTACGATCTCATTCTCATGGTATGTGTTTCTGCCTCTTCGACATAATTTTTATCAAAGGGCATAACAAAATTATATTTATTTAATATATATATATATCATCACTTTTATAATTTTTTAAAATAACATCTTTTATTGCCTTTGTTTTTTCTTCTTTTGTAAATTTTATAATTTATTGCTATAAATATTATATCATTTTACTTCTTTTTTTTTTTTTTTTTTTTT